AGACCCTTCACCAGCTTCATTGCCCTTCTTTGGACACGCTCCAGCACCTCGATGTCCTTCTTGTAGTGAGGGGCCCAAAACTGAACACAGTACTCGAGGTGCGGCCTCACCAGTGCCGAGTACAGGGGCACTATCACCTCCCTGGTCCTGCTGGCCACACTATTCCTGATACAAGCCGGGATATCATTGGCCCTCTTGGCCACCTGGGCACACTGCTGGCTCATGTTCAGCCAGTTGTCAACCAGCACCCCTAGGTCCTTTTCCACTGGGCAGCTCTCCAGCCACTGGTGGAATACCTTTGCACAAGACACGTGAAAAGGGTATGGATTAGTACTCCTAGGGAACGCTTAATCCGAAAGGGAATGTGTGGTGGTATTTTGGGCATACCTGTCCTAATTTTTATCTAACTAGCACGAATATCAGGAAGTGTAAGGATGAGGTAACATAGGTCTAACCACGAAATGCAGATCAGGATGAGGACTGTGGCTGCTACCCTGCTGTAGCACACAAATTCCAACTCCAGACCTTGGCATATCTAAAAGGCAATGCAGAAAGAGAATGTTAAAGGCAGATATGAAGAGAAATAGCTTTTCTGTCCTCCTTTTATTACCTTATCTTTTTCTGTCACAAACACTGCACGAGGATCTCAGCTAGCGTACTTCAGCATGACATTAATTATGTCCTTGGAATAACACAGCTGTGCATCAGGTGAGAATCTGGTTTGTGTGACAGGAGAAAAATTCAAGTGGATCCTCCGTGTGAAGTTAGGTATTCAGGAAATTTTTCAGACATCTAGAAATGTGGCTTTTGGTGCTTCCAGAAGTTCTTTTATAAAATACTTGAAAATTCTGTCTAGACTAAGATTTTGGGGTGGGTGCGGGGAGAAATTACTGCAGAAACTGAAATTTTAGTGTCCATATCTTAGTATACCATAATACGCTTCAAATAAAGCAGCAGATGCATTCATCTTTAATAATTTTAAGAGTTAAAAAAATTTATAATGTATTAGGATTTCTGCTTGATTTGTGTGCCTTCTATAAGATTAACTTACAAATGCAAATCTCCTTTAATGGAGGTTTTAATCTCTTTTAATGCTTTGCTGAAGGAATGTTACTAGTTAAAAATACTGTCTGCATAATTTCTTTGAAGATACCAATTTATGTTATTAAAAGAATCTTGAAACTGAAAGCCTAATGGATGCATCTCCTTTTTCATCCCATATGCACTTGATAATCCATTTTGTGCTTGTCTGTCTGTGGACAGTGGAGGTAGAAGAGTAATATTGAACTGCATGAAATGGAAAGGGAGGAGGGTTTTGGTATACAGGACAGAAGGTAGGAGGCCTGCCTTCTGATTGTACCTGTAGTCTCAGGCTTCTCCCTGCACCATTCTGCACCTCAGATGTGATAGCTCTAAGGTTTGACTAGTGCTAATGTTCTGCTTTAGAAGGCTCTTGAGATTGGAGCATCTCTTACTTTAGTATATTCATAACCATTTTATAGAGCGTTTTTCTTCCTAGAGGATGGTGAGATAATGCAGCGGCAGTGTTTTGTTTTGAAAACAGTTTTTGTTTGGATTTTCAGGGGTTTCTTTTGGAAGAAAAGACAGCTCTTCCATAAATCTGAGGGGGAAAGTGGCCCCACGATGTTCATTTGCATGTGTTGTCAATGTAAAGGTGTCCAGCTTCTTTATTTTTTTGCTCCAGATTCCTGAAATACATGCTGTTACCACGTATTTTAATGTTTGAAAAATCAAACCCCACCCTTCCTGACAGTGGAAAAAAACGCAGGACTGTTTTCTGCTGTGCTGATCAAGTATACGGTGGTATGTGTCTATTCATTTGTATGATTATTTTATTTCTTTTTGTAAGCAACCACAGTATGAGAGCACACCACTGCAACCTCACGCTTCAGAAAGATCAACATCCCACCTTGAGGAGCTTGAGCGAAAGATTGCAGCAGCTGAGAATAAGGAATTACAACTCAGTGAATTTGTAAAACAAATTTCAAACAAATCTAGCGAGGAGAAAAAGAAGATGGAGGAGAAAGTAAGTGTCTTTCATGTTCCAAATTTCCTTGTGACACTGTTAAAGCAGCGTGTGTTTTGTTTGCTAGAAAGCAACTTGGTGTGTGGGTTGCTGAGCTATTTTCAAAAGGTAGCTAAACTATCTGTGATAGAAAAATTAATAGTTAGTGATTGTGGGTGTTGGAAATGGATAAATCTGAACTTGTAGAGAATACGTCCTGAAAAGCAATACTAGATGAAATGACGATCATGATGAAGGTTTTAACCAGGTATCAGTTACACTTGCTTTGAAGAAAAGCTGCTCAGCTCTAAGAATTCATGTAGCTTGAAGTGTTTATTACAGTAAATAAAGTATCATTTTAAAAGATAGAAAGAGAGTGAAAATCAAATCCCTATTTTTAGCATGGCTTGTAAAAGCAGGCATCATGCTTTGAGATGCCCTTATCAGCCTGTATGTGCCTACTCAGCAGGAGTGATTCTCTTGTAGCTTTGCTAGGATGTGCAAAGTAGACTTTAGTCTGAGACAAGGAAGGGGCTTAGATGGCTGCGTTCTTGGAACCGTCTTGACAAGGGGTTTCTTTGGAGGCTGAAGCAATACCCAGGGGTAGTTTTGGATGTCTTGACAGCCTTCCTTTATTGCAAGCAGGAATTTGCCATTGACCAAGTGGTGCCTAATTAATGTTTTAGGGATACATCGTCACTGTTGCCTTCTCTTCTTTGATCACTGGGCTTAGATTTATATTAATGCACGTTCAGGGGGTAGGAGCAGTATGATACAGTGAAGTGGCAGGTGGGAAGACAAAGAAGAAAGCATAATTCATCTCAAATTCTCCCTCACATTTCCTATGAACCCTGCAGCATGCTTTTCACTAAGGGTAACGTTCAGGAAGGGCAGAGATTGGATGATGCTGCTTCCTCCTGTCTCAGCTTCTACTGCTTGTGTTCCTCACTGAGTGGGAACTGCTGCTGTAGGTGGGGGCAGCGGTGAGGACCTGTGCAGCAGCACTTGTGTCAGCGGGATGGTCTGTAGCCAGGAGCCTGATTCACTGCAGAGTCCTGATCCACCCCTTAACACCCATCCATTCTGTGCGCTGAACAAAAGGCTCTCAAGGAGAGAAAGGGCAGGGAGGGAAAGCATGTGTTTCTATAATGAAATTAGTGCCCTTCTCTTTGAGGGAAGACTGCAGAGGGAGGAAGGAGCTGTGCTGTATTCTCACGGGGATGTGGCAGGCTGGGATCCTGAGCAGCAGGCTGGGTGCTGAGCTTGGGGACAGCCATCTCTGGAGTTCCTCTGCTGTGCTCACAGGGACATCAGCCCAGAGCCCAAAGGCTTGGTGCCCCTGGTCAGTGACTGGTGTTAGGGAGCAAAAATACAATTTCTGTACTGATGAGAGGGAGTGTTGCCAATAGCTGTGCTGGGGTTATTTCCAAGCAAATGCCTGCCTGTTCGGAGAGAGTAAGTTGTTTCAGCCCAAAGCCAGATTTGGCCAGGGAATGGGGAAAGTGCTTTTAACATTCAGGTGAGCTTTGCTTGTAAGTGTATGCTAAAAGAACACATAGAAGTTTAGGTTAAGGTTGCTGGCATACATTTCTACTTCTCTGTCTGCCCCACTTCTGCAAATAATATTGTCTGTTCCTACATTGGAGTTTTTAACATCCAACATTCAAATACGTTGTGCAGATGGTATGTTTTTGACATGAATGATCATTCAGTGTAGGTGGGAGGAAGGAAAACATAAGGAACACTCACGTTTCCTTGACCATCTTTTGTCACTGGTGAGAAGTCTAGGAAAGTCTCCATCATCACAAAAACAGGATGTATTGGAACTGGAAAAGGTTCAGAGAAGGGCAACAAAGCAGATATCCATCAGAAGATCACAGGAGGAATGATTAAGTCTTCGCACTGGAGAAGTGCCTGAAGGGGGAGCTTGATGGAGTCTGCAGAGGAGGGCAGGTGGCTCCTCACTGCAGCTCCCATTGCAGGAGCAAGGGAACGTCTAGCAAAGCTCTAGGAGGAGCCAAGTACATGATCAGCAAAAGGAGCCAACTCCTCATGCCAGTTCTCTATAGCAGACCTATAGATTGTTTCTCTGAAGGCTGTTGTGGATGCTAAGAGTATAGGTGAGCTCAAGGCAAAAATGGGTGAGTTGATGGAAGTGCTGCCTTGTTCTAAATGCACAGAAATAACAACTGCCTCAGGAGAGCCCCTAAGGTAAAAGCAGCTGGAGGCTGGAAAAACGTGCTTTCCTT